TACTCTCTCTCTCTATATATATACACACACACTGTACTAATATCTATATCTATATCTATATCTATATCGATATCTGTATCTATATCTATATCTATATCTATATCTGATATCAATATCAATATCAATATCTATATCTATATCTATATCTATATCTATATCTATATCTATCTATCTATATCTATATCTATATCTATATCTATATCTATATCTATCTATCTATATCTATCTATATCTATCTATATCTATCTATATCTATCTATATCTATCTATCTATATCTATCTATATCTATCTATATCTATCTATATCTGTCTATATCTGTCTATATCTATCTATATCTATCTATATCTATCTATATCTATCTATATCTATCTATATCTATCTATCTCTATCTATATCTATCTATATCTATCTATATCTATCTATATCTATCTATATCTATCTATATCTATCTATATCTATCTATATCTATCTACATCTATCTATATCTATCTATATCTATCTATATCTATCTATATCTATCTATATCTATCTATATCTATCTATATCTATCTATATCTATCTATATCTATCTATATCTATCTATATCTATCTATATCTATCTATATCTATCTATATCTATCTATTATAGCTATCTATACCTATCTATACCTATCTATACCTATCTATATCTATCTATATCTATCTATATCTATCTATATCTATCTATATCTATCTATATCTATCTATATCTATCTATATCTATCTATATCTATCTATATCTCTCTATATCTATCTATATCTATCTATATCTATCTATATCTCTCTATATCTCTCTATATCTATCTATATCTATCTATATCTATCTATATCTATCTATATCTATCTATATCTATCTATATCTATCTATATCTATCTATATCTATCTATATCTGTCTATATCTATCTATCTCTATCTATCTCTATCTATCTCTATCTATCCCTATCTATCTCTATCTATCCCTATCTATCTCTAACTATCTCTATCTATATCTATCTATATCTATCTATCTCTATCTATATCTATCTATATCTATCTATATCTATCTATATCTATCTATATCTATCTATATCTATCTATATCTATCAATATCTATCTATATCTACCTATATCTATCTATATCTATCTATATCTATCCAAATCTATCTATATCTATCTTTATCTATCTATATCTATCTATATCTATCTATATCTATCTTTATCTATCTATTTCTATCTATATCTATCTAAATCTATCTATATCTATTTATATCTATCTATATCTATCTATATCTACCTATATCTATCTCTATCTATCTCTATCTATCTCTATCTATCTCTATCTATCTCTATCTATCTCTATCTATCTCTATCTATCTCTATCTATCTCTATCTTTCTCTATCTATCTCTATCTATCTCTATCTATCTCTATCTATCTCTATCTATCTCTATCTATCTCTATCTATCTCTATCTATCTCTATCTATCTCTATCTCTATCTCTATCTATCTCTATCTATCTCTATCTATCTCTATCTATCTCTCTATCTATCTCTCTATCTATCTCTCTATCTATCTCTCTATCTATCTATCTATCTATCTATCTATCTATCTATCTATCTATCTATCTATCTATCTACACACATATCTATATATATATATTTATATATATATATGGGCACCAAAATTTGGTTTTCCCAAAAACCAAAAAAAGATCTGGACAACAAATGGGGGCCGCAAACTCAGATGTTAGCCTCCAGTAAAGTAAGAGTTTGCCATGAAAAATCACAATTTTTAGATCTTTTTAGTATATAGATGTATATAGGTATATCATCCACACATGGGCCCTGGCTTCCATAGCGAAGTGTTGTGGAGGACGGCCTCATTCGTGGGGTGCCTCATTCGGACGCAGCTGGGCCGCAGCAGCCACATAGCTTCTAGATCCGAGCTGAACGATCTCGAATGAGTCGATGCACCGAGGAACAATCGACCTACTTTTCCAAGAATCTACAGATTCAGTTGACAGGCCCAGGGTTGGGCGGTTGGTGGAGATGGGCTCATGACAATTTGGCAGCGTAAAAACGACGGCCGAGTCTCGGCTCACAGCATAAAAGTGTAGCATGATTCCAATTAATACCCTCTGGTAAACAGCCACATAGCTATGTAAAATCACCATCTTTCAGTTCGGTAACTAGACTATAAATCTATGGGCCATTTTCAATAGCCATTTTGATGACATAACCAGAGGGTAGCAATTTTTGGAGCCCTTTGGTAATTTCACATAGCTACGGAACGTCGTCTTCTTAGGGAAGCCATCGAAGTAAATGGGCCATGGGTGACACAAAGCCGGGTTTCCTTTTCGCATGTGATGACACTTTGTGTGGGTAACGCATCAAATGTCTTGGATTTCCTGGACTCCCCGCGAACTAAACCTCTATATATATATATGTGTATATATATTGTATATTATAATATATATATATTATGTATATACTATATATTCTATATAGTATATATAATATAATAATATAATAATATTGTATATATATATATATTATGTATCTACTATATATATACTATATATATAATATAATAATATAATGATATAATAATATGATAATATAATAATATAATAATATAATCATATGTATACATATTATTATATATATATACAAATAGATATGGGATTTGACGGCTACGTAGCCGTGTGACTGACCGGAGGGTTCTGGAGACTCCTAGCGAAGCGACATCCTTCCGTTTTACTTGGGGGTGCATCCCACTCAGTAATCCCACTCAGTAAGTGGCTAAAAAAAATCCATATATATATATATTTGGAATATCTGATCCCCACTTCTATATGGGATTATATATATATATATGTATACACATACATACATACATACATACATACATGCATGCATACATACATACATGCATACATACATACATACATACATATTTACATACATACATACATACATACATTACATACATTACATACATTACATACATTACATTACATTACATTACATTACATTACATTACATTACATTACATTACATTACATTACATTACATACATACATACATACATACATACATACATACATACACATATACACACATATATATACATGTTATGTATGGATTCTAAACCACGGATCTGATTCGTGAACCTCGCACATTTGGGATACAAGGGGAGGATCCCTCTGGTAGTCATAGCTGACAATTGCCATGGTTGATTTACCTATATATTATATTCATTTACCATGGTAATTTTCCACAAAGATGGTGAGTCAAAGTGGTACACAAATTCCCACAAAGATGGCAATTACCAGGTTTTATACAAATAATAAAAGATGGTGCTTTTCCACAAAGCGCACCAAATTCCCAGCGGGGTATTCCAATTTTCTTGCTTGTGAGATCTCCATGAGATACCCATGATATCCAGTGAAATTACAGCAAACTCTAGAGGCCAGTGAAATTACAGCAAACTCTAGAGGCGAAATCCCAGGTTCCAGTCCAGCCAGGTCTAAGCCAGGGTGGATGATATTTATCTACCATATTTCTGGGTGAATTATAATTAAAGGTTAGGATTCGGGGAATCATCCCCAAAAGGGGAATCATCCCAAAATTCAATATTATAATTTAGCAGTGAATTATTACTGGTTGGTGGTTTGGAACATTTTTTATTTTCCATAATATATGGGAATAATGATCCCAATTGACTTTCATATTTTTCAGAGGGGTTGAAACCACCAACCAGATGTTGATCATTTTCCATGACATATGGATTTACTGGAGCCGGAGGGCATACTAAACAGGCCTGACTCAACAATTATAATTTACCAGTGAATTATTATACCCTCTGGTTATTTAACATAGCCATGGTATAGATGGCCCATAGAAATAGATGGTTTACCTATTAAAGGAATTTGGGCGTGTCTCTTAAGTTTTGGGCAGAACTGTCCCCCATCAAATTGCCGTCAATTATTGAGGGAAATGATGATTATTACAATGTGGGGCCCCCGTTTTCGATAGCTAAGTTGGTTTATAACTCCAATAAGTATGGTTTATGATACGCAAATAACTATAGTTAATGGGATTTAGAAACTAACTTATAACTGGGGGGGGCCCACATTGTATAAAAATGATTAAAAATGGTGAAATGGGGGATGGATGATGATATTATTGTTTTACCAACATTAATGGAAATGATGATTATTATAGTATTTATATTTTCCCCAGATATTTTGGACCGACGTCCGCGGTCCAAGTGCCAGGTCTAGAGCCCCCGGTGCGCTTCCGCGTGGCGCGTGCGGCCACCTTCGCCAAGCCCAGCGGCAGCTTCCAGGGGCTGCGGAGGTCTGCCGTGGAGACGGCAACGCCAGAGATGGCGGTGAAGGCGAAAATGCTGGGAAAGTGCTGGGAAAAGCCTCTTGTGATCCGAATATGATGGGAAAAACCGAGGAAAACCACAGATTTCCAATGATGAAATTGGTGAAACAGCAATTTATCTCATGATAGATGGGGTATCAAGGGGATATATCACTAGCTTGATATGATATATGGGTTTGTCCGAAAATGGGGACTGTAAAATGAGCACTGTAGTTTTGAACATGATGATCAACTTTCCCTATACTCATTTATATTCTCATATGAATGTCCTGCTATATATATATATATCCGATGATGAATCCCATTCAATCCCATTCAATCCCATTAAGTCACCCCAACCTCCAGTTCCCATTTAAAAACCTATAGAAAAGTTATCACAAAAATCCCCATTCAATCCCACTTGAATTCAAAGAAACATGGCCACCGCGAGGAAGTGGATGTCTTGCAACTCGTAGAGCTGGGCTTCCCCGCCGCAGCTTGCCGCCTGGCGCTGCGGAGCTGTGGCAACAACTCGGGCCGCGCGGCGGAGTGGCTCTTCGATGAAGGTGGGGAGCCCGGTGGCGAGCCCGGTGCGTCCCGGCCTGCAGAAAAAGGTGTAGGTTCCCAAAAACACCATCTGTAATGTGGTTAAAACAATGTCATTTTGACCACCCATTTGGGAATAGTTTATACCAACCATTTATGGTGACTTGGGCGATGGTTTATTATTGTTTTACCCACATTATATGATTTTAGAAGCGAACTAAACCTCCATGGGAGATTTCCGAGCCAGCCATGTTGGACCGGGAAACTCTTCTTTGGGTCCCGTCCTGACTTCACAGGCAACACTGCCGCCATCTTTGCTGCGGTTGAAGCAGAGGAAAAGCAGGACTGACGCATTGAGGGCAGATGTCGATGCTTTTTCTGGACCGAGTGAGCAGAGTTGCTCCCAACACACCAGATACAAAGGGGGAAACTGGGTAGATAAAGAGGTAAAGTGACCAATGTTCCTCACCCTTTTGTGGCTATAATTTTCCTACAACGCAGTAAAGGATAAGTTCATACTTTCATTTTTGGCCATAGCAATGGTGAGTGTTTGGTTGTGTCTGAAAATGGAGTCTACCCCCAAATGGCCCAAATGGTAATTTTTGATAGGGACAATGATAATCAACAATCATTTTTTTTGGGTACCGGATTTTCAGACACATATGTACACATCTATATAGTACATACTTACCAACTCGCTATTTGAAGAACTGCAAGTCAAGTATCTCAGATTTCGCACCGCATTTTGTGGTGAACCAAAGGATGCGCCCCAGGATACAGCGATGGCGGTGGATGAAGACGCAGCCCTGCAACAGGCCCTACTGCTGTCTACGACAGACTCAGCCCCTTGCGCCCAAGATCTTAGGCCGTGGAGCATCCCTGGAAAACACGGCCTTGTCACTGGTAACATACCGGACAATCAAGAGGAAATTGGTGCTTTTGACCGTGAATTTCCTTGATTTCTGGTGAAATGGGTGAAATCACGAAACAGAGCAAACACAAGAATTGGTAGAGGTCAATTGAAGTGGTGAAGGGCTCATGACAGAAAGCAAAGAAAGGAATTATTCTTGCAGAGATTAAGATATTAAGCCACCCATTGAATTGGGGCTACGGTGAAGGGTGGGAAAACCCCAGACTCGTCATATCCCGCGAGTCAAACATAATACTATTCTTGAAGAGTCATGGTCCTCAAGCAATTACTAGCCATTATATGTATACATATTGTATATATTATGTGTATATATATATATACACAGTATATACATATCGTTTAGAGCCTCGTTTTCCATTTTAGAGTTACAGTACAATTCGGGCTGCCAAATTTACACGATTCCGTATATCAAGCTGATCCCATACAATATATCACAAAATCGTTGGTTTGATACTCTAATAATATAACGTCCTTTTTAGACATATTCATATACATATTCATATATATATATATATGTATATGTATGTATGTGTGTGTATATATATATATATAATAGGGATCTGAATTCCCCAGTAAGATCGCATATTTAACCCACACCTCCCATAGTATATATATACACATACACTGAAACATGTCACCCTATATATGTATATACATACATACATACATGCATACATGCATACATGCATACATGCATACATGCATACATGCATACATGCATACATGCATACATGCATACATGCATACATGGCATGCATACATGCATACATGCACAGGCAGGCACAGACATACAGACATACAGCATACATGCATACAGGCATACATGGCATACATGCACATGCATCATACATGCATCATGACATACATAGACACAACATCACACAGACATCACATTACAGACCAAGACAGACATTACACAGACATACAGACACACAGATACACAGACATACAGACACACAACAGGACAGACAGGACAGACAACAGACAGACAGACAGACATACAATACACATAGATAGACATACTAGACATACATACAGACTAATACATAGAAGACTACACATACATACAGACAGACACATACAGACATACATACATACATACATACATACATACATACATACACACAGATACACAGATACATTACATACATACATAGACAAACACACACAGACAGACAGATACACACATTAGACAGACAGATACATACATACATTACACAGACAGACATACACAGATACATACAGACATCACATACACGATACATATACATACATACATACATACATTACATACATTACATACATTACATACATTACATACATTACATACATTACATACATTACATACATTACATACACATACATACATACATACATACATACATACATACATACATGTATGTATGCATGTATGGATGAATGCTCCATCCATCCATCCATCCATCCATCCATCCATCCATGTATAAACCCACCGTATCTACTGCCCATATAGTCTTGTGTTGCTTAAAACCATCAGGAACCATCCCCTTTTTTCGTCGTCGATTCGTCGCATCTAGGCCATGGAAGATGCAACTGATGCGCCACTGGACGGTCAAGATACTGCAGTGCCTCGGCGACATGTTCTTCTCGCAGCCACGGAAACAAGAGAAAGGCGTGGTTTCAACAATTTCAACAACTTTCCTTTTTTTCCTTTCTTTCTTTTCCCTTTTTCTTTGGAAGTGGTGCCAAGCAAGATACAAAATGAAACCCTAAACCATTTCGTAGTGGTGCCTTTTGGGATTCCACAAAAAAACTCAGGAAAGTCCTCGCAGCGATTTCACGATTTCAACATTGCACTATTCTGTGGTGGTTCGTTTTTTGTACCCTCTTGAAAAAATCTTTGGGTGCGAGTAAGTCATTGATCCTTTTTAACACCTTGGCATTCTTCGGAAGTGGTGCTAAGTAAGAGACCAAAAAAGCTGAAGACGGTCCTCCAGAAGAACAAATCTGCTGTTATCATGGCAGGAATCAATGTACAAAATTAGGGCACAAGATCGATAACTGTCGATATACACATATGTACATATATATATAAATATGTATATTTATATGTATATATCTACAAATACGTAATCTGTATACGACTCGGAAAGCTTGGGCCAGGCGCAGTTGGGATTCCCATCAACCAACGATTTGTTCTCTTAACTTCAACCATGTCTTGGTTCCACCGGATCAAAGGCAGGGCACGGGCAAACTCTAGGCATTTTGCCAATATATACATATACTCTGGGTAAATTTCATCACGACCTCACTGCGACCGAGCCCTGGAAATCATGGTTTTTATATGGGAAATCATCCCCAAATGGCCTTAAGATTCAGGTTAGTGAGTTATTATAATTTGCCCAGAATATATATATATCTACATAGCAATCCCTAAAATAATAGGAAAGTGTGACATCCTTCAAACATAGTGATACATTGAAGCTTTTCTACATCTTTTGGGATGTTATTTTTACTTCAGTAGGATTTTACTATTTTGACCACATATATATATATATATATACGTATATATAATAATATCTGGGTAAATTATGACGACCTCACTGCCACCGCACTAGAATGATGTTCAGGATTGCGGGGGGAATTATCCCAATATAAAGCTGAACACTTCAGGTTAGTGACTCTAATTTACCCAGCAACTATGGTTAATTTTGGTTAAATCCTTTATTTTTAAATTATTTTCCCATTCAAAGAGCATTTGAGCAGTGTTCAAAACCCCTGTTGGTTGATGATTGGGCCGGGGATTATACTACCCTTTCTATATATATATATATATGGGATGATTTCATCATGCAAGAACAGGAGAATCCCTAATTATTCACCAGCCAGGATTCAATGGACATTTCGGGATTTTGAACATTGATTCTTGTCACCTCATGGTTGTAATGGGTTATCAACCCACGATTATACTAGGTGATGCACCTTCACCAAGCATATCGTAATTTCCATTAATGTTGGTAAAACAATAATATCATCATCCATCCCCAATTTTACTTTTTTTCTCCATCATTTTTATACAATGTGGGGCCCCCTAGTTATAAGTTGGTTTATAAATCCCATTAACTATAGCTATTTGCGTATCATAAACCATATAGTTATTGGAGTTATGTTCGCCAACTTAGCTATCGAAAACGGGGGCCCCACATTGTGGTATAAACCATTCCCAAACCATTAGATAGCTAAGTTGGTTTATAAATCCCATTAACTATAGTTATTTGCGTATCATAAACCATAGTTATTGGAGTTATGTTCGCCAACTTAGCTATCGAAAACGGGGGCCCCACATTGTGGTATAAACCATTCCCAAACCATTAGATAGCTAAGTTGGTTTATAAATCCCATTAACTATAGTTATTTGCATATCATAAACCATAGTTATTGGAGTTATGTTCACCAACTTAGCTATCGAAAACGGGGGCCCCACATTGTGGTATAAACCATTCCCAAACCATTAGATAGCTAAGTTGGTTTATAAATCCCATTAACTATAGTTATTTGCGTATCATAAACCATATAGTTATTGGAGTTATGTTCACCAACTTAGCTATCGAAAACGGGGGCCCCACATTGTGGTATAAACCATTCCCAAACCATTAGATAGCTAAGTTGGTTTATAAATCCCATTAACTATAGTTATTTGCGTATCATAAACCATATAGTTATTGGAGTTATGTTCACCAACTTAGCTATCGAAAACGGGGGCCCCACATTGTGGTATAAACCATTCCCAAACCATTATATAGCTAAGTTGGTTTATAAATCCCATTAACTATAGTTATTTGCGTATCATAAACCATATAGTTATTGGAGTTGTGTTCACCAACTTAGCTATCGAAAACGGGGGCCCCACATTGTGGTATAAACCATTCCCAAACAATTAGATAGCTAAGTTGGTTTATAAATCCCATTAACTATAGTTATTTGCGTATCATAAACCATTTTTATAGGTGGTATAAACCATTCCCAAACCATAGTTAGGTGGTATAAACCATAGTTAATGGTGGTATAAACCATTCCCAAATAGCTGGTTTATATCATTTCTCCAGAAACATCCGCTGCCAGGTCCCTTTGGAGGCGATGGAGCAGTGGACGCTGGTGGATTTGCTCTCGGCAGAGGAAGGCAGGGCGAGTTGCCAGATTGGAGGACAAGAAAGCAGTAGCTATTATATGTATATATGTATATGTATATATATATATGTATACAATATATATATATACTTCTAAATATGCATGTATATATATATATATATATATATGTATATTTTGTTGCATATATGTATACATCTTCATGTATGATATATGGGATCTACTTGCTTCCTTTTGTATCCTCGATGATTTTTGGTGAGGCTATAGCAGCCATGCGCCTTGCTGAGGGGTCCCTGATCCAAGAGTCTGGGTAAATTTCATCACGACCGAACCCTGTTCTCCCGAAGCCTGGAATCATGGTTTTTATATGGGAAATCATCCCCAAATGGCCGCAAGATTCAGGTTAGTGAAATATGATAATTTACTCAGAAGAGTGATTCTGGTACGACCTCATCACATATGTGCTGAGTTTTTCAATGTTCATCCCTTTTTTTGGGCCAGAAATGTTGCCAAAATTGAATTTGCTGTTCATGGTTTCCCTTTGCTCCCTGATTTCTTAGGTGCTATTCTCAAGTTTTGGCCATATCCCAATTTCTTGGCAGGCCGTACAACTCAACGATGACTATTTGAGAGGAAGCAACCAATTTGATGTGTTGATTTCATTCAGTTTCTGAATCTATAATATGTATCAGTATTTTCTATTGTTGATATCATCCATGTGAAATATTGTAATATCCAAGATATGTATCCCTATGGATAGTGTGGTACGAATCATGGATATGAAAGTGTCGGAGGCAAACCGGTTAGAATAAATGCAGCGGATGGTCTACACATTTCTAAGAGATGATGATAGACAATTGCATACTTCAATATGAACACTTCAGCGAGATTGGGATCATTTCTATAGTTCGGGTCTTATGGTTAATTGCAATTGTGTCCAGCAAGTACCCATCAATGCACATGTTTCATTTTACCCATCCCGCACATGCCATCATCCCATCATCCGGGAGTTGCATACATCAGACATGATGTGATGTTTGAAGAGTGAATATGTTTGACAGATTCCGTGTTCATCCATAGTTCCATACGTGTTACTCCAAGTTCATTCACCCCATGGCTAGATTTCAGTATCTGTTCAGGTGGAAATTTTGGTCTCAGGGACGCCCCTTGTCGCGTCCGTAGGTAGCGAGCTGGCGTCGCTTTGTGAGCTGTTGACTCGTATGGAGGTGCCAGCGGTGCGGTGGGAACCAATTGTTTTCATAAACTGAGATCATCTAAGAATTCTAAGATCATGAACGATATGCATTTCTGCATCTAAGATCATGAATGATATGCATTTCTGGATATTTCTGGGCAATTGGCTCTCCACATGACCTTTTGGATCATTGATATTGGGGAAGCTGATCATCTCGCAGGTAATCATGGCGACCGAATGTCCGCAATTCTTCGTGGCGATTTGAAAGTTTTACCTTCCTAAAGAAAGGGAACTCACTGAGCTCACATAAACATTGATTCTTCCTGTTACCCTCTGGTAATTTAACATAGCTATGGAAAATCACCATTTTTAATGGGAAAATCCACTATAAATGGTCATTTTCAATAGCTTTTTGTATGTTTACCAGAGGGTACAATGCTCGATGAATTTCTGATATTGTACCATGGGTCTCAGGGTTTATTTAACCCGATATCAAGGTCTATGACGGTCTATGTTTGTTGAAAGATGAGAGTACCCGGCCTGGTAAACATACAAAAAGCTATTGAACATGGCCATTTATGGTGGATTTACCCATTAAACATGGTGATTTTCCATAGTTACGTTAGTGTACGAGAGGGTATGTATGACGAATAGTGAGAACGTTTTTATTTCTTAACCGACCAAAAAGAGGGGATAGCTCTCCCTGGTACGCGCAGGACCTTTCTCATGTGCTTTGCTGGGCAGGCAACCGGGTGATTTGGCACTGGTTGGTTCCCGCTGAACAAAATCAGATATACAGTAGATAGACTCAATAGGGGTGGTAAAGAACCAAACTGGAAGGGTTAGAAATGGTCATACTGCTATCAAAACATCAGAAACACTAGGAGAAGTGTCAAAAAAATGCGGTTTTCAACTTTGATCTGATAGACGTCTAGAATTCATAAGAAATCATGGAAGAAATCCGCTCGGAAAAGGGGATCACACGGTAAACACATGTGGTATTCCTATCGCATATGCTTGTATGAACCTTCTCTATCACTACTGGTATCGTGGGTTGGGGTATAATTAATTCAATTCAGAAGGGTACTTGGGGATGCAGTTTCAGTGATCAGTAGATATATAGCCCTGATAGGGTTTATATTCCGACTTGTGGTGGTTACTACCATAGTCATACCTAATAATAGCCTCACCCCCTCTTCCTCCATGACATTCTCTTCATTTTCGTTTTCTGGCTTTGTCTGAACATAAGCTGACCCAGAGATCAAAATAGCTACTGGTAGCAAATTTTTGACTCATTTCCGACCACAAATTAGAAGCAAACCTTGCTAATTGAACTGGACAAACCCATGTCCATTCCTTATTCCCCGTGTGTTTGCTGCTCAAATCATCAAACCGAGTGACCGAGTGACCAAAAAGCGCTCGACAGGTTGAAAAAAGCGTCGGTAGCGCAAGACATCAAGCTGGAGTCGAAAAATTGCCAAGCCATTTGTTGCTTTGAAAAATAGCTCAACCTATTCTAGTTCACCTATGTTCACCTATAATTTTAGTTTATCAACTTCATGAAGTTCATCAAGTTGATAGAAATAGCCAAGAAACACATCATGCCATCATGCCTCAATGGCAATTTCCACATCGACGGCCTGCGCACCATGGCTGCGCAGCGGAAAACTTCCACGACTTCATGGCATCGAGCGATGGGAGGAAGGTGCTCGGACCCCTGAGCCCCTGAGCTTTGCACCCGGATGGTACCCGCTGCTGGATAATAAACCATAATAAACCCCCGGCCCGGAAAACAAGTGGTAATAGGTAACTTGACCCACCCCCAAATGTAGGTTTATGTAGGTTTCCTGGAATGGGGATCCCCCAATAGCTGAATGGTTTAGAATGGAACATCCTATTAAAATGAATGATGAACCGGGGTACCCCCATGACTTTGAACCACTCCATAGAAGATGTAATGTGAGTAGAGAGTAGCAAACAATCCCGAATTTTGACATCAATGGATGACATAAGCCATCAAATATGGGTGGTTTATGACATTGTTGTCTTAACTTTAATGTAATCCCTGCCCCCTAACATAACCCCCCCAGAAACCATGGTGGATGTAGGGGATGGAAATGTGAGCCATCATTTTTCCAGGGCTTTTTAACCATGAAACATATGGTGATATATGATATACTTATGATATACATAACTGAACAAGCAATGAATTATGGTCATGGTTGTTGATTGTGGTTATTCAATGGTTTTTTCTCTTGCCACGTTCATATTACCCACCAACCATGGACGTAGAGGGATGAAAAAGCACGTAGCCATGGTTGTTTTCGACATCCATGTTTACCGTGGAGTAAGATGTAGTTTCTCCTTTCGGAAGCAACATCTTCAAGCGATGTGATTTCATGAAATCTGTTTCGTTGAGCGAGGTTCTACCGATAAGAACACTCAATGGATCTTCGGGGGGCCCCTCAACTAGTCGAGCGGATGGTTCTATGCCCGCTTGCCATTCAGACCCTCCTAAACTGGGGCATGAGGGGAATAGAGAAACATCCTTTAGCAGAAAGCAAGCAGCCCAGTCATTTTTTGAGAGTTATGATTCACTGCGAACTTTCTTTTGGTAGCATCAGCCTGGTGAGCATCATGATCGTCATCATGACAACCATCATGACAACCATCATGACAACCATCATGACCATGATGATGATGATGATGATGATGATGATGATGACGACGACGACGACGACGACGAGGATGATGATGATCATCCTCATCCTCATCCTCATCCTCATCCTCATCCTCATCACGGTGGTTTTCCATGCATGATAAATTACTGTAAAATACTGTTAATATCATTAAATGTCATCATACATGATCATCATTTTGAGAACTTTTGACTGTCCGTAGATGTCCATAGTACCCGAAAAGCGTCCGGAGGTGCTTGCGGCAGGGCTCGCACTGACCGCAGCGACCAGATGTTTTGTGGATGGCCTTGACCTTTCGACGTGCTGTGATCGAGTTTGATGGAGGTTTCCGAAAATGGGGGTAGCCTCAAACCATCCAAAATTATATAGTCCACCAAATGGTGTTGAAAGCCATTGTCTTGGAGATGCCCCATTGGAAAGGAGTTCCATTTTGGAAATGTATCTGCCCTCTGGTAATCCTGAGATATAGAATACTGGTACATTAAAATACTATGACCAACTATCATACAGGGATACCATTGAATATGGGGATCTCATTAGATATTACAAGGGGTACTGTATCCGTAATCATCACCATGGGTGGCACTGGAAAACCCCCTAATCTGGAGACGGCTCGTACTAAGTTCGCTGGGGACATCAGGGAACGAGTGCTGGGGGGATTGTCCAACAAGCCACAGTTGATACCCTCTGGTAAACATACAAAAAACGATTGAAAGATCCACCATTTTCTAGCTGGGTGAATCCACTATAAATTACCAATTTCAATAGCAAACTGTTAAATTACCAGAGGGTATCATTTGATGACCGGAGGGTCTGGTATGTTTGCTGGTTATATATACCCATGGAAGAGTTTGGTATAGCTATTTATTGTCCAAGGATTATATCATATATACTCCATCTCGTCATTTGACCTAGCTACGGACAGTCACCAAACTAAACTAGCCACGGCTTCCAGTTTGCAAACTGTTAAATTTCCAGATTACCAGTAGATACAGATAGTTATATGACTTCTTTGTCGGGATTGCTCAATAAAATTCAGCATATTTGGCTTGTTTAATGATGACATAACACCACCCTTTTATGGGTGTATATATATATGTATACACATATGTATATCGATACTAACTTGATATGATATATGATATATGGCGTTTGTCTACGGAGAAAAACGGTTTTGGAGGTGCTGCATTTTTGAACATACCGTTTCATGCTTGCATAGATATTCAAAAAGTGTGCAATATATGGTACATATATCTACACATGATATTTGGCAGCAGACTCACTAGGCAAGCTGTAGATCATGGTTCATTGGTGGCAGTTATCCCCATAACCAGCTTGTTGATGAAGGCTATAGGAACAGACCAAGCATTGTTTTGATGGGGAAACTATGAGAGAAATGAGGAGTTTTAAACATGTTTGATGGGGTTTTGAAGGTTTTTCCATGTTTATATCCACTGCGGTCATTGTATAAGAGAACACCATTTCGCTCAAAACAGGACATTATCTTGGCGCGGCGAGGGGGCCATTTATTAAAAAGCGTCGTTTAGCAAAAAATCTCCGGTCGTCAAACGTGGCTTGGAACATCGCCCAGCAACAGTTCGATGATTTCGCGAAGGAAATATTCATCTCCGGAGGATGTTCCAGCCACGTTTGATGAGACCAGAGGGTACCCTCTGGTAATTTAACATAGCTATTGAACATGACCATTTGTAGTGGATTTTCCCATTGAAAATGGTGATTTTCCATAGTTATGTTAGTTTTACCAGAGGGTAAATGGTTGACTTGGAGGACCATCCCACCTGGTTCGTAAGTCGGCCCGAAAGTGGCGCCCCAGTTAAAAAAAACCACCACTTAAATAGGAGCGTGGGATGATCCCCCAAGGGCAAAACAATGTCATAAAATGTCATTTTTACCACCCATGACTGGGAATGGTTTATATATACCACCTATATATTTATGCTGATGACTGGGGAATGCTAAACATGACATTGTTTTACCCATATTATGATTGTTGTTCTGCCTTAGCAAGCATGTCACTCGTATCCGTCGTATCACGTCGTATCCGTGACCTTTGAAAGGGTTAAATTCTGGGGTGATTCTTAATGTGATCAATCTCGATCTCTAGTGATCATAGTTCTTTTTTTGACGTTTTGACACATGGTCTGACACATGGCCATATGTGTAATGGATTGTAACCCAGGATCAACAAAAAAACCAAGGTTTATCAATAGGGGCGGTTCCCATTTTACTAGCACATTATATATATCACCATTTTATGGGGTAGCTCCGTGAGTTAATTGTTTGTGAGGGTTTCTTAGCTTGCCTCCCACTGACAACCCTCCTCATTTTTCGGTTCTCCCCCAGAGAGGTAAATCCTTTGGAGCTTTGCTGAAATGGGGGATCAGTCACTGGGTTGTTTAACTCAAATGATCTAAGTCTAGATGATCCTTTATAGAGTTTTATATTTTCTAAAACATCCAAAGTTATAGTAATTCATAGAGGATTTTCCATGATAAACCATCCAGCTATTGGGCTAGCCCCATGACCTTGGATAGCTCCATCTGGTATCATTGAACGATGGCTTCACCGGCCCCAGGTGTCCAAAGCTGACCATTTCCCCAGAGGTCTTGGTGCTCTTGGGAGCGCCCTGGGGCATATCGGACCTGGTGGTTTTTATGGCTTCAACAGATGGGGAGGAAGATATTCGTCAGTCAACATCACATCTGAAAACCATGAGATTCTTTGATGTCCGGGGGGCCAATTTTCGATTTTCTCAGCTATCTTTAAACTCGATGGACCGTGCAGAGGCAAGCCAGACATACCAGGACTGGCAGCAAAGATGGACACCTTCTCAGGGTGCCGACCATGCAGGGCACCCAAATCTTTGATCGTAATTATATGGGAGGTTTCATATAGAAAATCCCAATCTAAAAGGATGATGAACAGGGGTACCCCATTTTTTTAGGAAACCTCCATATTGAGTCACACAATCTCCCTAGAGATCTTGCCCTCCTATGATCTAATCTAGCTGGAAAATTCCACATT